TATTTAATTAAATTAAATGTGGCAACGAATTACATCAATTATCGTATTAATTATGATTGATTATAATTAATTTGCACTAATCGCATTAATCAGTATTAATTATTAACCGCTGATTAAGCGTGTTAAGCGTAAGCGGAGAACCCTCTTTACTGACGCATACGAAACGTCAAGCTGTCAAAACGCTACATCTTCTTTGAGCAAGTTCCCACTTTCCGGATCAATTAAGCCGTGAGAAACGTATAATTAGAATGGATACGATTAATAATGTATCCGCAACACTGACTGCACACTTGCACAGGAAACTTTATTTTAACTAATAACACGTCACACTAAAAGAAAACAATAATTCGTTTAACTAAAATTAAAACTATTGTCGGTTTTAATCATATTTTTTGATTGTTCTAACACGAAAATCATAGTAGTAACATGCATATAAGATTGTCATAACATTATAGTAGAATTTAATAAAAAAAATTATTTTCCACACCATAATTTATGGTAATTATTTTTCTATATAACTATTATATTAACTATTATATATAATATATATATATATAATATATTGTTACAAATGCCAAATATTCTTTCTTCAACTTAAAATATACTTGGATGTTTCTAAATCAGCCTTTTCTATTTTTAATTGTAATATTACTACAGTTTTGATGAAACTCAGCGAAAAGTATTTACACGGAGAGAATTTTATAATACAGAAATTATTATTTGTAGTAAAAGTTGTAGTGAAAGTTAGTGTATATAATTTTAATAGAATTTCGTAACCGAGAAATAAAATAATATTCGACAGTAATTATATCATTTTATTTCATATATGCCATTTGCGCTTTAGGGACTAAAATATCCTGTTAAGAAGTTTGCTATGTGTCTCGTGAAATCTATTACGTTCCTTGACAAAATAGGTTTTACAGACAGTCTATTGCTGGGCTACTGGATACATAGTAAAACTGACATGAGTTTGTACGTGAAAAGAAGAACTGTAATATTCTCTCGTTTTCTAAGAGGAATGCTCCGCGATTTCGTTTCCATTGCTCCTCTCACGACAAATACACAAACGGAGTACATGGCTGACATGCCCCTTGGGCCAATTAAGTCTCCCTTGCTACACACGCGAGGATAGATGTCGGTAATTCAGCAGTCCTGACGCTCTCGAGAAAAACATGAAATATATGTCCGGTTTTATTCGATACTGAACGAGCGCGGAGATTGTGTCGATAATACCGCATTAAAATCAAACGTCCCTGAATATCGCACGCGCGGAGATCGCGAGGCTCGGCGTCGCGTCGGGATGGTAGCGCGCCGGGTGGACGCACCGGGGAAGAGGAGGAGGAGAAACGCGCGCGCGCGAACGAGCGACGGAAAGCTAATTACAGAATTATCGCTTTTAATTGCGATTCCTGCTATTTGCGCAATGGCGTGGCGGTGCAGCGCGCGCGATTGTCGTCGCGTGCCGAATTATTGGATGTTGACGTCACCCGGTGCCGTCGCCGCCGAGCGGCTCGATGCGGCATCGCGCGCTTTGCTCGTAATTGCCGGCACCAATTATGCAATTAGCGCCGCGCTCTAATGAGCGTAGTGTTATACGCGCGGAATCTAAACACCCGGCCACCCGACACCCGGCCGCGCGCATTGTTCGCGCGCCGCTGCTCTCGTGTGTGTCGTCTTCGTACGTCTCGGGAGTGCGCGATACGCCCCTATCCGGTTTAACTCTCATTAATTCATAACGCGTGTGTAGTTAGCGTTGGAACACTAACTCGAGACGCTTTTCGTCGTTTAACTGACGGGAACTCTGTGCCACCACGGCCGGCTCGTCACACTTGAACTCGAAACGGCGCGTCCGCCGCGATTTTTTCAACTTTGACATCGCGGTTCTCTCGAAGCGAGAGCGAGGAGAGATGACGGAATATAAAACGGCAAATGAAAAATTGCGACGGAAAACATATTGTTTTCCGCAGCAGCTTGTTCTTCATCTCGAATATCACTGAGATCTCCAAGGACCGTGCATTAACAGTTATTACTCTTAAAACTCATCTCAAGTGAGATACTCTTGTTTCAATTCAGTGTTGGATGATTTTTTAGTTGAATCGCGATTACAGATACGAATGTCACATATATTATAGTTGGACAATTGGAAAACTTGGACCTGACTGCGAATAAAAATCTGCGAATATCGCGATAAAAAACGCATTGTTCTCCGCAACCCTTAGCTCTGCTCGTCCCGAATACCATCGCACGCTCTCTTTCTCTCCCTCTGTTTCCCCTTCTATCTCCGTCGTTGCCGGCCTCGGTGAAGCAGCGTACAACATGTAACGAGCGTGTAACAAATCCGACGGCGTGTGCCAACATGTAAACACAGTCCGCACTCGAAGCCACAATCCCTTCGCCCTAGCACGCAACGCGCGCGCGCGCGCGCGCTCTCGCGATAGGGCGTCGTCGGGAGATGATCGCACAATAAAACATTGGCATAATATTTCGCCCGGCTGGTTGAACACCGCAAATACACTCTAGGACCACATGCCGGCCCCATTTTGCCGAGGGTGAGAAGGAGCGGGCTGCACGTATGCCAGCGCGCGCGCGAGGGTGCAGCCCCCGCGGGGGCGCCCCTCGAGTACCGCGGGGACACCCGCGGGCCCCGCGCCGTCCCCCTTCGCGGATTAGCCTCGCTACATTTCGTCCCTTCTGTCGTTGCGTATGTCCCGTCATTATGCGCCTAACTCTCTGCAAACGCAAAACCAATGGGCATCGCCACCCACGACGGGCGAATTTACGGTCGGGGGACGGGCTATGACTAGGCTATGTCTATGCCGCCCGTCTATCGAGCTATCGATCGAGACAGATAAATCGGCCGCTGCTGATCGCTGGATATCTGATGAGTTATCTGGCAATCACATAATTGCTTTTGCACGTATGTCTTGCAATTTCCTCGACTGTGAGCCGGTGATTTTAATATTTGTAGAAATGAAGATAAAAGTTTGAAGACAGACAAGAACATAAACGTGTGAAAGTTATCACTTGCGTGTACCTTATCTTATCAGTGCGTGTACCTTATCTTTGTCCATGCCCTCGAACGTGGGCTGATATTTTCAACAAGGGGAGAAATAAAAGATAAAAATTGGAAGAAAAAATCAGAAAATAAATGCGTGAAAGTTAACACTTTTGGTTTATTTTTATTGGGGGATATGTATTTTTCTATGGGCCCCGCATTGCCAGCGGCAAACGTAACGCGATTTAGCGTTACGTCGAAAATGAATTACGCGAAAAGTGCGTTTAAGCGTGTACGCGGTGTAGATGTAGGTAGATGAGGTGGGAGAGAGGGGGGAAGGAGGGCTGAGCCGTTGGCACAGCGTGTGTCGCGTCTTTTTCGCCGGAGGTCAGACGGCTGAAACGCGAATTGCTCGAATTTTGTTAAGTTTGGCAGCAATTACTTTTGATACCCGACACGCGGGCGTAATTGCGTTGGGCCAAGCAGAACGACGGGAGGGGTAATAATTCGCTAATATCAATTTCAAATTTCAATTAGTATCATCTCGACGTCCGCCTCTGCGCTTCTCTCTCTCTCTCTCTCGCTTGCTCGCTCGCTCGCATTCTCTCTCCCTCCCTCTGTGTCCCTCTCTATCCGCGGACCCCACAGGAACACGCCATGATCTAAAATTCAATTTGTCCCTTCGTACCGGAGCCGCAAAGAGAAGAGGAGAGACATAGTGTAGCACCAGCGGATAGACGGAGAGGGAGACGAAGGGGAGACGCCGTGATGGAGCGAGCGAGATAAACAGCCACATAGAAACGTACAGAGACGTAAGCGAGAAGGGGGAGAGCGAGATCGGGGGCGAGCAGAGAGAGAGAGAGAGAGAGAGAGAGAGAGAGAGAGAGAGAGAGAG